ATTACCCTGGCTTCTTTTAAAGTAGGAGGCATACTGGGTGATGGATGAAGTTGATGTAATGTGTAGATGTAGCGCGTCGCGTGGAAAAGTGGCCCACTCACTGATAATGTACGTTAGCAGAGAACGATTCTCCGGCGGTTCAGGTGCTAATCTGAATTCTCTACAGGTAAGATATGAAGACCACGCCTAGATACGTGGCTTACCGGCCAAGCACCAGGTACGCAAAACCTAGCACCCCGCGATACACTGTTAAGTACTCATGCTCTCTGGTATCTTGCTCGGCCCGGATCCCCTCCGCCCGAGAATCATCGGTATTAGCCAGCAGCCACTCCCGGAGTCCCGCGCGATGCCGCGACTCGAAGTCATCCCATTCGCGTTGGTCTGCGGTGCTCAGGTGTAGCACCTCCCAACCCGTCTCCCGGCACATCGCGACCATATCAGCGAGTTGGAGAACATCATCACCGAAGATGGCGTGCGCAGCCTCGGTGGGGGTTCTCTCCCAACACATGTCACCGAGCAGCACCCTCCCGCGAGGGACGATATCCGCCAGTCGCGCAAGCATCGCGCGGCTCCCGCCGAGAGTGTGTGACGAGCCAATACACAATGCGCGGTCGGCGGTTCCCTGCCAATCCTCGGCCCGCTGCTCGACAAAGGCGACGTCCAGGCCACGTTTCATGGCTGCTCGCCTCCCTCGGTCAAGAGCAGCTGGGTCAGTGTCGACGCCGGTCGCCTTGACTCCACTTCCTGCCGCCGCTCGCAGGAGTAATTCGCCCCAACCACAACCTATGTCCACGATGTGGGTTGCAGTGGACAAGTTCAGATGCTCCAGCAATTCGCCCGCATGGCGCTCGGAGAGCGGTGTGTTCCATCTCATCGCCTTATACCGTGCTGCAGTGAGAGGGTCGTCCATGATGATCCGTAACTTTAGGTTTGTCAAGAAGCCGTTATTTCCTCTTCAGCGCTCAACTCTCGAAGCAATCATATTCGTAAGGAAAGAGCCGGCGTACCAAAAAGAGAGCTCACCCTGTGTCCATATTAGTACAGTAGCTCTATCGCAGTGAGCGATAATAATGAGTCATAAGCATCAAGACTCTTATTGGTCCGCTTACTTTCTCCCTTTGTCAGAGCCTAATGCAGAAGCCCCGGTCAGGAGAACAAACAGCCAGCACTCGACGAATTAAAATTGTCACCGCGATTGTTTTCTGTCGATATGGAGTTGGGGAAAGATACATGGAGCAATTCAAGAGAGGATCGACAAGGATGGGTTCAACGGAGTGTACACGTGTACGGATCCGTACTCACGCACACGCACAGGGACATGCATGTTCCCATTGTGAGTGCGAGGGCTGGTGCGGTTCGGCGGTGTTCCACGCGAGAGCGGCTTGCCTCGCAACCAAACAGCTTCCAAGCAATCGGTCGCGAGTTTACTTAGCCAGCCGAGAACCAAAGAGCATCTGGCCCAGTGCTGCCCACAAGGCAAATCAAGTCAAATCGGCACACCGACTTGCTTTGATTTGAGGCTAGAGATACTCGACTTGCCTTGTCAGTTCCTCGACTTGCGTTGACCCAAAGCTTTGCCAAGCCGCTTACATAATCCCCCGAAATGGGTTGTTCCGCACCGCCCCGTTTTTCCCCCCCCTGAGCCACCCGGATCCGAGTCTCCCAGTCTTTACTGCCTCTTTGCCCACTGTTTCAGACACTCCACCATGTGATAGTATTG